CAAGAATAGGTGACTTACTAAGAAGACAGTAGCAGACCACGGACCAACTGTCAACACTTCGCGGGGGAAGACAGAGTAATACTCCACAAAGAGTCTGCAACCTTTCACAGCATTGGAGAAGGTAGGGATTGGCGACCCCATGACCGTTTCGGACGTGACCTTCGCAATGTGTACATTTCTGGCGACAGGCTCTTACCGGAAAACATGCTGGTGGTCACCCTACTCAAGATATGAAGAGTAAGGCAAGGAAAGAGGTGGTATTTACCGGAAACGGGTTATACCTTTGTCAGCGTAGTGGAAGGATCTTTTCCTGGAGAACGGTGTAAATTTCGAGGAGATAGAGTGTTTGAGAATAGGGACCGGTCTCTTGCAATGAATAATGACAAAGTCTCTATAAATGGGAAAAAGACTCATTTAGATTGTTGCACCAACCTGCATAAAAATGAAAACGGTCTCCTTGACAAATGGACAAAGCATATCGGGGCATCAATTCCAACTGCTTAACTAGTTCACTAGTTGCCAGCCGGTCCTAAGCCCACGTAAAGAGAGAAGGTTGGCATAGAGCTAGCAACCCTACACCGTAAAAACAATACAATCCCTAAAGAAACTTCAAAGCACAAGCAAAATATAAAACATAAAAACAATATCATTACTCGCTGGAATCGGAGACACGAAATGACGCCGGTTGGTGAAAGCCTTCGAGAAGCCGATTGGCCGATGTGTCTCATCTCAATGAAAGCGAAAGTAAACGTGAGTACATGGAATGTCAACACCATCTTCGAACCTACCAAGGCTGCCCAGATTGAAAAGAAGATAAGAAGGTATGGCAAGAAGTGCTTGGAATCTGCGAAAGCAGATGGAATGGAAGTCGACTCTCCAAACTGTCAACTGCACAGTCGATAATCTACTCCGATATTCTCACCCAAACGACGACAACAAGCACACTGAGTCTCGGAGTGGCTATCATAGTGTCTCCAACAGCATCGAAGGCTCTCTCTCATGCAGTGGGAACCAATCTCCTCCTGCAGGATCAAGATCATGACAACAAGATTCAACTCAACAGGAAGGAAAATTACAGCCATGCAATGCTACGCTACGCTATGCTATGCACCTACAAATAATGCAGATGAAGAGAAGAAGGAGGAATTCCATAGACAACTGCAATCAACACTGGACAAGAACCCATCCCAGTTGGCAACATCAAAATTCTAATGGACGGCATGAATGACAGCCAAACTGGGAGCGGATAAAACAGGAAGAGAACTTATCATGGGCCGAGAAGCGCTCGGTGAAATGTACGAGAATAGAGAATTGTTCGCAGAATTATGTGCATTCAACGATTTGGTGATTGGAGGCACTGTGTTCAAGCATAAGGATATCCACAAAGCAACATGGAGTTCACCAGACACCGGGACACACTAAAAATCAGATCGACTTTATCTCAATCTCAAGAAAGTGGAGACGCAGACAGCCTACTGGACACAAGGTCAAGAAGAGGAGCAAATGTTAGGCTCAGACCACTATCTAGTGCAAAGAACACACACCCTCAAAACCAAGTTGAAAACCTTCAAAAAAGTTGGCGAAAGACTACAGTTCAAGTTCAACACCCAGAACAGAAACTGAAGGATGAAACTACAAAGAAAATCTTCACGTCAGTCATCAAACATCATCATCATTATCAACATAGGACCAGGGATTACTGCGTAACGGTCCGAGTTGCCACACCTCATATCAGCACATCAAGTAAAAAGGTAGTGAGTTGAAGGATGAAGATAAGTGAATGCAGTCAAAAGAAATATAAAGTACGAGAAGAAAGGAAAGAGGAGTGACAAAATAGTGAGATTCGGTATAGCGTTGTTAAGATGAGGATAATGTGTGTATACATCTGCGCCACTGAAGTGGTCAACACACTCATCATCAAACAAAATGAGAGATATCGAGGGACACCCCTGAAGAAACCTCTTTGGATGAGCACTGGAACTCTTTGAAAGCAATATGGAAAGAAACCTGCATAACCGTATTAGGAAGGAAGAAGAAAGAAGATAAGGAATGGATCTCGACGGACACATGGAAGCTGATAGAGCAGGGACAGGAAGATGGTCAAGCAGGAGATAAACCAGTGAAAGGATGAACAACGAGAAGAGGAACTGAGTACAGTGTATAAAACGCTGGACAAGGAAGTGAAGAAGAGTGCACGCAAAGACAAAAGACACTTCCACGACACACTTGCAAGTGAAGCGGAACAGGCTGCAGGTAGGAGAGACAGAGACCTGACAACACTATTTCAAATAACCAGGTTACTATCTCGGAAGACATCAACACACATGAAACCAATAAAAGATGATGGGGGAAATTTAATTACCAAGGAAGAGAAATAAAGGAAACGATGGGCTGACCACTTCAAGAAGCCCTTGAATCGATCACCACCTGCACTTCGTCCAAAAATACAACCTTCAGCCCTCCGACCCAAGTCGAACTCCTGAGCGCCACAAACCTACTGAAATGCGGGAAAGCAGTAGGACTAGATGGAATCCCACCAGAAGCACTGAGACCACACGTAGGGACAACAGCAGACATGCTCACAACACTATTGCAGAAGGTCTGGAAGGAAGAGAAGGTGCCTGCCGACTAACTGGGAGGAGGGCTACCTTGTCAAACTCCCGAAGAAGGAGGGCCTAAGCGTTTGCAAGAACTGGCGTAGAATTACGTTCCTGCCCCCCCCCGAAGCAAACAAAATATTAAGCCGCATCATCCTGTACAGACTGAAGGATGCACCGGATTCAAAACTACGGCCGGAACAGGCAGGCTTCAGGAAGTACGAATCATGTGCGGACCAAATTGCAACGCTGCACCACGCATCATCATAGAACACAGTATGGAATGGCAGTTAACCCTCTACCTCAACTTCATCGACTTTGAAAACGCCTTCGACAGCGTCGACCGACAAGTAATTTGGCAGTTGCTTCAACACTACTGAATGCCACAAACCTTTATCAATCTCACTCAACAACTATATGAAGATGCCACATGCCAAGTAATTCACAATGGGAGGCTCAGTGACGCTTTTCAAGTGGAGACAGGAGTAAAACAAGGCTGTCTACTATCACTATTTCGCCGATGACTTATGTCTAGTGTCACACAAACTTGAAGATCTACAGGCGAAAACTAACAAGTTGGCAGCGAAGACAGGACTTCAAGTGAACGTAGAGAAGACAGAGGTGATGAAGATGCCCAACCAACAACAACAAGCTCCAATCACCATCAACGGGAGAAACATAGAGGAAGTAGCCTCCTTCACCTATCTAGGCGGCACTATTTCAACTACAGGTGGCGGCACAGACGAGAACGTCAAAGTCAGAATCGGAAAAGCAAGTTAGGCGTTCATCAGCCTGAAACCAGTGTGGAGATTTTTTGCACTCAGCATAAGTCGTGAACAACATCCGGATTTTCAACACCAGCTTCAGTCAAGTCAGTGCTTCTTTATGGCTCAGAGGCTTGGTGCGTTACGAAAGCGATTTCCAACAAACTGTAGACATTCATCAACAACTGCCACCTACGCTCGTTACTGAAGATCAGATGGCCAAAATAATAAGAATGAGCAACAAGGAACTCTGGCCGGGTAACGAACCAATCAACAACCTATCGCTGAACAAATATGCAGAAGGAAGTGGAGATGGATTGTGCATACACTGAGAAGGCCGACTGGGGACACCACACGCCAGGGCCTGGCCCTCGAGTGGAACCCCGATGGGAAGCGACGAGTCGGGCATCCGAGGCGAGGGTGACATGGGGGAGATCGTGCGAGGAAGAAATGAGAGCTTCTGGGCTGTCGTGGAACCAGGCTCAAAAGATTGCAGAGAACAGAGTGTACTGCAGACGTGCTACTGAAGCTCTATGTTCCATTAGGAACCCAAGGGACAAATAATAATAATAATCAAATATATGGGCATCAACCCGGCACGACCACTAACATGTTCCACCATTTCTAGACTTCACATTCTCTGACATACATGATGTAGGCTTCGTTTGGCATCTTGCACCCTTTAGTAGGAGTAATCACTCTGTGATGATCTTCAGCAGCCGTCACGTGCCAAGCCAATGACCCAGCATTTGACAAGGTACCTTAGTTCAGGTTGCTCACGAAACTACAAAGTTTCAGAATCGCCAGCAATCAAATTCCATGAATCAGAAAGATCCCTGTTGGTAGGAAACAAAGAGTAGTGGTAAATTCTCAAGCCTCTCCACAGAAATCAGTGGAGACTGGAGTGCCACAAGGCACAGTCCTGAGTTTCGTGATGTTTCTTGTATACATAAATGAACTTCAGAATATCATGAAATAACTAATGGTTTTCCATGCTTTTGGAGTAAACATCCGACGAGAAATTAAGGATGACGATGGTGTAAGTACGCACGAATGGATTTTATGGTGGTTCGAGAAATGGCTGGTACCTATCAACTCAGGTGTGTAAGCATGTATATAGGCACGGAAACCGCAAAATCTACGAAAGTAAAAGGATTTCTCTGCCTTCAGTACTGACCAATAATGAACTAGGAGTTACAGTAACTTATGAGCTAAAGATCAGGAACACAGCCGGTTAGATATCAGGTGAAACTCTACTCCTTAGGAGTTGTAAAACTCTGGAATGCTCTTCCTGAAGACTTGATCCAGACTACTTCGTTTGAATCCTATAAACGCCGACTGGGTACTTATTTGACATATATCTGCCCAATATTGGTTGAATTTTCAAAGCTCGACCGACATTTTCCCCTCTTTCTTTACTTGTACACAGGTTAACAACCACAAAAATTAGTGATCGATGGATTTTAGACATGGAAGCCATTTCAGCGGAAGCTCCTTTCATTCCGTCGACAACTATTTGAACCATTTAAACCATTCAGACTAACAGTTCGGTCTGATGCACGGAAATCTATCAAGCCTCTGCAACTGTTAAGCAAACCATCGGTTTATACATGTTGGTGACACGTATTGAATATTGACCAGCACTTATTAGCCTTCCCGCTCCTTATCACTGTCCGATTTTGAGAGTAACACTTGAGGAGACAAGTAACAATTAGTCCTACAGTTTCCTCCAAATAGCAGCACTTTAAGTAAGTAAATCTCGGTCCCACTGTGAGTTTGATTGTGCAAACTTGCTTGGATATATAGCCAGAGATCACCCTTTATTTTGAAACACTGTTGCGTTGCTAATGCCTTCGGCGTATTAAAGTGACCATTCTTATTAAGGTGTGTAAGTTGATAAGTATGATATTTTAGTCATTTTCATCTCGTCGTGAGAATGCTTATCAGTACAAAAGCATGGACTGTGTCTCCAGACACCGATGTTGAGGCATACTCAAGCCTGTTTGTCTGATGAGTTCAAAGGCAAACCTTCATTTAGTTATATTATGCTGTCTGAGAACCTTGCTTATTCATTTCTCACTATGCTGATATAGACTTGCGGTTGGTAAAATCACAAGTATTTTTTAATTGCCCACTATTTGCTGAGTAAAAGCATTTAGTACCACTCCTGTGTGCGTCTTGGTGTCCACCCAGCCGGCAAAGACTGGGTGCACTTTGATATTTACAAGTAGATCCCGAACTCAACTTTGGGCGTAGCTTGGAACTTTGGGCAATTATCCCTAAAATTCAGACTTTCTGAAGACCACATTACTTTATAATCAAATAGTTACACATCGCGTATACTGCTCCAAAGAATACACATAGACCAAATGTATTCCCATAAATTACTTGTTACCTCTTATAATGCCTAATTTTCAAAACTTCGGTCTCACTGCAGACAATTTAGTGGCAGTTTGACAGATTTGGGATTTTTGGGCGAAGTTTTGGCATTTTCGGGCTCCACACTGCATCATCGGCAGTTATCCCAAAGTTTTAGTGCTGTTTTTTACCCAAAAAACTTGAAAGTGCGCCCAAAGTATTTGCCGGCTGGGCACTCAGTCTCTTCATTTCGTCTGCAAAATTTAGGATGTAGTTTATCTTGCAAGGTGTTCATTTTGTCTTTATGTGGTCTCTAGTTAATATGAGTTCGTGCTGCTAATTCTACCCAAGGACTGGTGATAGTGCATCAAGGACATATTAGTGTGAAAACTTGAAGTTATGTAGCATTCATACGGAAGTATGTCATGAAGTCACCTGTAAATAACAGTTGTTTGATATGGACCAGATTGTTTTTCATAGGATTGGCACGTTTCTCTTAAGTTACTGTCAACTGTATCATGTCTGGTGTTGTCAACAGTACTATTTAGTGCACTTCTTATCTTTTCAGCTCCACTGGTACTCTTAAGCAGCCCTTCTGTTTTTTTTGTAACACTTGTCTTGGTACTTATCTTACTTAACTAGGTTTTTTCCTCAAATAGTATTTCTAGTTTCATAGCTAATTGTAGTCACCGACTCATGATCCTTTCCAGTAAGGTGTAACTTCATACTTTTTTCACTTAAGGTTGTGAGAAGCCGACTGCATATTTACTTCGCTGTCATGTACAAAACAACCATCTGTTGCCTGTTTCCACCGGTTTTTAGAATTTCTGTAAATAGTACATATTAACCGTGGAAAACTGGTCTTGCAGTCGTCTCAAAGAGTGTATTTGGTTGACAGTAAGTTCCTGATCTCTTGTGACTGCTGCTACCATTCCTATTACTTTCGTATTCTCCATCCCTGTCGGTTTGCTAATAAGCAGTATCGTAGCTAATAGCTGTATTCACTTATGGTTGTGCCTATATTTGGGGACTGTTGAATGTGTATGGCCCACTTCTATTTTCTCGTATATAGCTGACGAAACTAAAGTCAATGAATGTAAACATGATGGGAAAGGGCTTTCCCGCAGACACCTGTATATTACGACTACATTTGTACGACATCTGTTTATCAATAACTACGTTTTAAATCATCGTAACGACTATTCTCATCGATGCCATGCCAAGGTGTGTGTCTGTCATTTTAAGTGTTGTTTTTAAGTACCCAAACGGCCAATAAGTTCAGTGGCGTTGATTCTCTCTTGACCCATCTTTTTTCACTCCGGGAGGGGACGGTTAACTGAGGAAAGAAACCTGCTGACAAAAGCAACAATCATGTATCATGGTTTCGTTTCATTACAGACTGACAGTTTCAAACTGTTTTGTCTTATTGGTTATCATCTTGCATCTGTTAATTTTCCGTCAAGGATCCCTTGCAGTATCAGCGTTCTCGATGAATCTACACTTGGAGCTAAAAAATACTTGTGACCCGCTTTCTTATGATCGAGCCGGTGTTTCCCAGGTGACTTGGGAGACTGTACCGGAAAAACGAACCTCAGCAATCATCTTCACATGCAGACAGTCAGCAGCCCCCCCTCCCTCCTCCAGGTTTATTCAGTTTACCATATCTGTCCAGCTTCTGTGGATTTACTGATGCAAATTATTGTCGTCACTCCTAGACATAAAGAAAAGAAAACAAGGATAATGGAGAAAGTTTATTCCTCAGGATGTGGATACTCGATTTCAGTTCTTGCTTAAGCTGAGATAATTTCCCAAATGGTATGTAATTGACGAACAATATGCGGGCATTGGAATCATGTTATGCAAGCAAACTGATGAAAATCAGTTTTACTGAATTTCTTTCATATATATATATATATATATATATATATATATATATATATATATGTAGTGCAAGTGAAGTTTCTGACCAATAGCCTTTATATGCTGATTGACCTGGGACACCACAATAACCCAAAGAGCTACACCTGCAGCAACTCTTGTTCCTAAGGTCCTAACATGCCAGAAAGGTTTATTAGACAGTGGTAAGACAAAATGCAGCCATCACCATAATGCTTTATATCTATCTTATACTGGGAGTCCGAAAGCGACGTCGCGCTGTTTGTTGGGTGGATGTGACAGCAGTAGTGTTTCTGACAGGTGACCAACTGTGCCGTACCGATGCTGCCTTCCCTATGATAAGAGGTTGGCCCCAAATATATGACACTCCTCCCTACTCTTCTGCATTCTGGTTCCGTCAGTGTGGGTTTCTCCTATCGGGGGTCAGGACGACCAAATCTTAAACCGAAATTCGTAAAGATGCTGTATGTGACAAGCTGGAAGCAGATGTTCAGTGTGCTGTGTGGTGGTAAATCTTTTCCTTTTCCCTCTCAGCCACCCTGCAAAAATCTTCCACTGTGTGCACGGTTGGGAAGTGTCAACCACCCTTGCGCTTCCTGGAGTACACAAAACTCAATAAAACACAACTTACCCTCCTTACTTTTGTCTCCTCCCTTGACTTCACTTCCTGAAACCCATATTGAGCTCCTTACAACTTCTTCAACCCCTTACCTTGTGACTATTCCTAAGGAGTCGAGCCAACAAGACAGGATTCTCATTCTTCCAAAACCATGCTACCAATTTCACATTCGAGTTATCATCATCCGAAGCGTATGCCGAATCGGGCAACAAGTGTCACTTGCCGAAATTGGAATCTCAAGTCATTGATGTATACTGTGTTTGTGGGACACAAGCGGGTTCTGAGTGTAGTTATTCACTAGACCTCAGCTGGGTAGTGTAATGTAATGAGTCTTTGGAATTCACTTGATGATTGCTCAGAGATTCATTGACTTTCTCTTTTGGAGTGACTGGTGTAGACATGGCATTAAGTTGCAGGTCGTAAAGCACACTTCTTGACTAGATACCAGTCGACAACCATTTGTGTATTGTTCGACTGAGTGGGACATTGAGAACTAGGAAGGATTGTGAGATTAACCTATGCCTATTCGTAATCTCTGCGTATGTACCCACTGACTGTAGTTCGTATGATGGAAGAATGAATTTTCGTTAGGTTGAATGAAATGACGAGAGAACTTTATTTTTCGACAATATCATTTTTTTACAAAGCTGTAAAATCGTATCTGTTCATATCACTGACGAATGGAAAGTAGTTGCGTAATAATCGTTTAGTCAATGGAAATAATAAGAAAGGCAAGGAGGGTGACAAGATAAAGTGTTTTGGTAGGTGGGAAATGGGAATATCGCGTGTCCAGTGGCTAGATATAAAGGTGAAGAATGAAGCAAGGGTTCTAATGGTGGTGATAATAATAAGCTGACTAATTATAATGAAATCGAAAAATTGTGTTTTAACACCATGGTTAGATAAGATACTGAACATACTCCTTCTGCACGCAGAGATCGGGCTTGAATTAGTGAATTACCAATGCTTTTGCTGTGCACAGCTGTCGGGAGCGTACTCCTTTTGAACTTTTTCCTTTGACTCAGTCAATGACACTGAAGGAGGACTCCGATGGAGCTATGCTCAGAGTTGACCAAATGTTCAGGAATTGAACTGTTAATTGATTTGCATTCTTCCCCCGATAACTAAGCAAGATAGTGTTCCGATATACTTTTGAAAAGTGTGCGGTTTGTGCGGCCTATATAACTAGCTCCACAGGAGCAGGTAGATTTGTAGACACATTGAGGTGGCTCAAAGCGGCATCTTGTCCTTAACGTACCCCGGAACCAATTGCCGACCAGAAAAGCTGATCTGTAGCTTCGCAGAGAAGAATGTCTTCTTAGGCGATTTGGACAGGCAATTCCTCAGGATCTCTGCTGCTGTATCACCATTGAAATGAAGTTCATAAACAAAGTCCTCTTCGGAGTTTTGTGTTCTTACTCCGCATTCCGTTTTAGTTTCAAGTTATTCTCAATAAATCTAGATGGGTATCCATTTCGCATGAGAATCTTCCATAGTTCGTCTAATTGGTCGTCGATAGTATCACTCGTGCAGATTCTTCTGATTCTTGGTGACAAAGAATTAATCATATTCCTTTCTCTGCTGACAAGCACCCAAATATGGGAACTCAAGTATTGTGCATTACACATATGCTTCCTGATAATCGATCTCTAAAAAAAGCCATCTGGTCTCCGTTTCAATAAGACATCAAAAAAATGGGATTTTGAGTTTTCTTCGAATTCTGATGTGAAGTTGATCGATAGATGACGGTCAAACCTTTCAACTACAGTCCCAATATCTGTATTTTGACTACAAATGATGAATGTATCATGTATATATCTCTTATTGAGGTAAAAACTATAAATTGTTGAATGGAGCACACTGTTCTCTGGGGTCGCCACAAAGCAACCAACCAGCAGCGGTTCAGGTGGTGACCTCATAGCGACCCCATCATTTTGTCTGTATAGCTCGTTTTTGAATTTGGACTCCACGTTAAAAGTACATCTTAGAAGTAATTCCTTTTGGGATACCCATGTGAAAACTATTATCTGTAATGAAGTCCCATAGGAAACAGTTTTCGTGAGATGGGCATTGGTGAAGAGTGAAATCATTTGCTTACTGGATATATTGAGGTTATTACTTGAGTCAACAAAGTCGAAGGAATCCAACAGGCTGCAGGTATTTAACTGTTTTCTGATTGGTTGAAGGACCTCCGACAGCTACTTGGCGATAGCATGGTATGGTGAATTAGTCTTGTTCAAAATTGGCCGCACGAGATAGTGTACGTTTGGGAGATCATATAAGCGATGAGTTACTGAACAGACAACAGTAAATTTTCCCAAGAGTCTGCTCAAAATGATGTCACTGAACAAACTGAACAAAAGCGCAGCCATATTCGGAGAAATAGGTCTATCATCGGCCCCGAACTATTCGAGCAATTGTGACCTGGTTTCGTAACTTCCTGCCTATATAAAAACTTGAAAGCCCTATGTAAATTACCTCAGGTAGAGTGAGGGCATACAACCACCTATCTCGATTGTTCCAAACCAGCAGTGGCATTAGGCGAAGTTGCTTGGTTTCTCCGTTCCCCTTAACTTTACTTTCTATGGCGTTCTTGATGCACCTCTGGTGTGTGATTGTGGTGTAGGTCTGCCATCCGAAGAGCGGATACTCGATATTTAATATGCGGACGACATCGCCTTACTATACAATAACGCACAGGTTACTGAAATCCCACTTAATTAGTTGACGTTTAGTGTCCGTCAGCATGGTATGTGCTTTGGACGAAGTGCAAAGTACTTTTGGAAGATCGGTGGGGTGAACCTCAATGAAGCGTAGGTATCGGTCGTCTAACTTCCTCCGAGGTTGAGAAGGTACTTCAGACCTGAAACGATATACGGCAGCAGAATCTGACAGTTTGGCGCCGAAATGTTTTAAGCAGTGGGGTAGGAAATTGCTGTTTGGAGTAACTGATGTATTAAGTAGGATATGTGAGTTGGAGGTAGTCCCATCAGATTGGTCTACTTCACTGACCATTCAAGTGGAGAAATCTTGTGATAACCATTGGGGAATCTGTTTGACTAATATCGTGTCCAAGATCCTATGGAGCGTGTCTATCCGATGCCCAACTGGAACTTGAGCAAATCAGGTAGGTTCTAGACCTGAACACGGAAGTACAACTCAGATCTTTACCCTTCGCAAGGTTATGGAACACAGGTGACCAATAATTGCCGTATTACTGAACATGAGGCTGCATTTGACTCTGTCGATATAGAGGTGTTGTGGTGGTGTCTGACTGTGTAGGGGAGTACCGAACAAGTCAGCAGTGCTTATCAAATCTCTCAACTCGAAGTCACCCAACTGTGTAAGGACTTATGGTGAGTTATCATGTGAATAAACGACAAACAGTAATGACCGCCAGGGGTGCTCACTATTGCCGTTCCTGTTTGATTTCGTTACGCATGTGCTAATAGATATGACTTTAGGTAACTGACTTCACAGGGAGTAATCTGCTCTCTGGAGGACACATGGTTGACTTGGAGTATTCATATGATATTATCCTGGTAGGTAAAGACTTTGACGAGATGCAGGGTCTTGCATTGTGCAGAAATCTGAGTACGTTTGGTATGCGGTTCACTGACACCTGTCAAATATAGGGTGATGCCCCGAGTCTGGTCTGCAGCTAGTCTGTTTAAGGAAAGTAGATGAGTTGGTCGACCATCTCACTTTCTTGGGTAGTTGCATAAACGCGAACGGGCTGGCTGCTGACGAACTTTCAGCTGAGATAAAGACCGGTTGGATACTAATCAACCTCTGCCATCTGTGACGCCCACTGGCGAGACATTCGACTGCTGCAGTCCGTTCTGTGCTATTATGTGGCTATGAGACGTAACCGTTGAACGTAGAAGATATGACGAAATTACAGGTTTTCGAACGCAAGTATCTTCGTAGCATTATTCGCGTATGGTGGAATGAGCATGTGAACAGTGTCGAGGTTAGGTGAAGGTTACTGGAATGTTGACAGAAGTTGGATTAATTTGGAGCAAGGCTCAGGGTGGCTAGACGAGGAAGTGACACTAGTTCATAATGCTTATGACTGTTGGTTCGAGCTGTGTAGGGAGGTGTAAACTACCTGCTTGGAGTCCTCGAGGTAACATAAGTCTATGGTTGGAAATTCTCCATGATATGGGCGAATATCTCGGAAAATGGCGCAGATGAATTCACTTTTGGCATCTTCTAAACCCTAAATATTTTCACGAGTCCTAATTTTTAAATTTCTTCCATTGACCCCTGTCTATTTTGATACCAGTCGTTTTTTTACCTACTTTGGATGCTTCTGTGAAGTGGCATCTTAAACTGATCAGCTTCTGTATGAGGTTCTACGTTGATTTTATCTGTTCATAGGTAACGTTGTAAGGATACAAGGGACCCATTTAATACTCTCCAGTGTTAAACTTGTCAAAGGACAATTATACTGTTAAGCATTGCAATCTTCCTGGCTCTGTCGCTCTAAAACTGGAGTTCGGAGATTTTAAGTCGTATCACTGAAACAGCTTGCCTGGGATGGTGGGCGTCTGTTAAGCTTTGTGGGAGGTATAGGTAGATCGATATCATGAACTTGCACCCAACCTACTATCTATACCAAACCACCATTAAGTGACACGCTGTTAAAAAGTTATGCGTGATGATGGCTAATATTGCCAATAGAAAACATGGTGCCAACTTGCAAAGTCACTGATATCTATTCTGGACAATGCATAGAAATATAGATCTATTGGTGAACCTCCTTTAGACTTATAAAATCCAAGCTGAGTTAAAGACTTAAGTGGTCGTAGGTGTGACTCATTGTTCTAAGCACTCAACTTTTAAATAAAAGATCCGGGATTTGAACTCCACTGTGGGCTGAACAGCTGTGTAGTATCATCAGCCATCATACAAATATGGTTCATAGCCTGGTACATAAACCTTCACCATATTAGATTTTATTATTATTTGGTTTTAATTTTAGGGATTGGTGCTATGTCTTGGCTTCACCACTTAGCTTTTGTCCTAAAATCCTACTTCAGGTAACATGGTCTGTCAAAATAAGTGGTTCACAACTTTATCAAATGATTTATCTTTCTTACTTGAGAGCCTTCGCCTAAATTGAACATTTTTCACCCTGTGGTCCCATCACATGCAGTCAATACATCCAAGACCTATAATCAGAATAATGTGGTCTTTTAAGGTCTTCCAACCTCAACGACTGTATCAGCCGTAGAGCAGGTTGGCATGGACTTACATGCAGTATACTCGTTTTCTGCTATAAAGTCAGATATTCTACCACTATTAAAGGTGGTATCAGTTGGCAGATATCAACCGAACCTGAAATCTCATCAGTAAAGCTGTCTAGCATACCTATAAACTTGTGATGTAGTTTTGCAAATGTAACTTCCACTACATTTCTCTCAATTATTTGCCTGCTAAAACTCCTTGTGTAGTAATAATAGGTCGGTGGAGCCGTGACTCAGTGGTCTATGGATATGACTACCAACCATTGGGTTACGAGTTCGAGCCCCGCTCCACCTACCGAGATTTGGGCAGCCGGGTAGTTTCACTAGCCCTCACGTAATAGATGTGGCTTACTGCCTACTGTACGGATATCCACAAAGTGGCTATGTGTGTTTCAGTGATTGGTCGGCCAATGAGTACTGGTAACGTTTCAAAGTTATTTAAAGGTTGCTCAAGAAATGGATGATACACGTAATTACCTATCTGTCCACTTTCGCAAAAATACAGGTATAGCACAGTTTAGTGTGCTGTTCTTTTACTGACCTTTAAATTAAGTGGTTTGAAAGATTAGCCGTCTTCATTTTGTATTTCAGAAATCTGACATGTCTACGGGTGGCAGTGCTCGTCGAAGTGAAGTTACAAGCGCCAAAGTGCGAATTAAAGCCTTCCCTCCTTCGATTGATGAAAGATATGCAAATCAATTGTGGAATCAGATAAAGAGTGCGATTATTGAAATCCAGAAGAAAAATAACAGTTGCCTGAGCTTTGAAGAACTCTACCGAAATGCCTACACTTTAATCTTACAGAAACATGGTGAGCGTCTGTACGCAGGCACTGAACTTGTTGTACATGAACATATGACTAGAATTCGCGATAGTATTGTTGAAAATCTAAATAATAAATTTTTAACATACCTCAACTCGTGTTGGAAGGATCATCAAACTGCTATGGGGATGATTCGTGATATTCTTATGTACATGGACCGCGTCTATGTCGGTCCTCACAATCTGGACGGAGTTTATAAAATGGGAATGACTGCTTTCTGTAATGTTGTTGTGCGGTATCCAATAATTAGGGAGCACTTGCAAAAGACTCTGTTGGATATGGTGCATAAAGAACGTCGAGGTGAGGTAATATCACGGTCTCAGATTCGTGATGCCTGCCAAATGTTTGTGCAGTTAGGCGCCGGCTCACTCCGTGTTTACCTTGAGGATTTTGAGCAACCATTTTTGGAACAGTCAAGGGAGTTCTACCGCGCTGAAAGCGAGAACTTTCTAGCAGAAAACACCTCTGCTTCCTTGTATGTCAAAAAGGTTGAACAGAGGATTGAAGAAGAAGTTAGACGGGCTCATCATCATCTTGATCCATCTACAGAACCCAAAATAGTGGCTGTTTTGGAAGAAGAACTTATAAGTCGGCACATGGAGACTATTGTTGGTATGGAAGACTCAGGATTAACCTACATGCTAACCCATGATAATTTCAGTGATATCGCTGCTATGTTTAGTGTTCTCAGTAGGGTTGACGAAGGGCCGAAAATTATGAGCAACTATATTAGCCTCTACTTGAGGGAACAAGGACGGAGTATTGTTCATGATACTGGTTCGTCAACACCTCAGCAGCACATTCAGGATTTGCTACGATTACGTGATCGTGCCAATGAATTACTTACGAGAGCACTTAATAACCAAACAATATTTCGTAATCAAATTAATGCAGATTTTGAGTACTTCATTAATTTGAACCCTCGTTCACCTGAGTTTCTGTCGCTATTCATTGACGAGAAACTTAAACGTGGCACGAAAGGTATGGCGGACCAAGATGTAGATGCTATTTTTGACAAGTGTATTGTATTATTTCGATACCTACAAGAAAAGGATCTTTTTGAAGGGTATTACAAAAAACATTTGGCAAAGAGATTGCTGTTATTTAAAAGCCAATCTGATGATCAAGAAAAGATTATGATTTCAAAACTTATGGCTGAATGCGGTGCTGTATACACTAGTAAACTGGAAGGAATGTTTAAAGATATGGCGGTATCTAAAACTCTTATGGACGAATTTAATGGAGTACTATCCAGCAGTAATCACAATCTTGGCATAGATCTATATGTCCGGGTATTAACTACAGGTCTTTGGCCAACACAAATAGCAAGTTCTAACGAGGTGCTACCTGAAGAAGCGGACGCAGTGTTTAAGGTTTATAGGAAGTGAGTCATTGTATGAAGTTTTTAATTATTTAATTTCATTCAATATCCGCTTGGTGTTGAATCGAAATTGACTTGCTTAACTCAAGCGATTCACCTTGTTACGATTATTTCTAATAATATTTATTTTGATTTGTGTGGTGCTAACTATGGTCTTCATTTCTTAAGAATCCACAGTTTATATCGAGTCAAACATTTTTTCTCTTAAATGTCCAAGCTGTATGAACTTTCAGCTGCTTTTATATCATTCGGGCTACCTAATCCCATATTTTTCACGCTTCTAGTCTCAAATTGTAGCTGTAGTTCTGAAATTTTTATTTTATGAAGCCTTTGCGCTAGTAATTTTGGTGATTAACTAGCGCACGTTAGTGCTTAAGAAATCGTTTGGTAGTAATACAATCAACAAACTACTGATTTCATATGTAGTATCATGAGAATCTAAATTACACTATTGACAACTGGAGAACTTTGGAATCAATAAATTTGTCAAATTCTATCGAAGCATTTATATCTCTTTTAAGAACCTGTTTGGCAACAGAAGCTCACCAATTCAATTCTGTGCATTCGAATGCGTAGAAGATCAAGGTTTCATCACAATTAGAATCTGTTTAGTTGTACGTGGTTTGAAGGGATAAACTTGGGATTCAAGTTTTAAGAAAATCAACACTGTAATACAGACATTCGTATAGCGAGTCCAAAATAAAATAAACACGTGTCTTAAGATTTACCGATCGCTAATTCTGATTGCTATTAGGTGCCAAACCGTAATATCCGTCTAGAAAAACGAATACCAGAAATTTTCACTCAGGGTTGGGTTTTAGTTGATTTCATTTAATCTTTACTATGTTACGAAAAACCGATGGCATGGATCCAAACTAGCATCTCGAGCGAACCAACGAGTTAGTGCTACTGTCGTTTCCCTGACGGTTTGTGACACTGATCCATCTCTAAGGCTATAGAAACTTAGTAAGATTTGACAGTGATCAGATGATATGAGAGCCAGTTGTCATTTTTTGAAATTTAAATGTGGACGACGGAGAGAATTGTGATAAACCTGGATGAAAGTCCTACAGCTGTTGGGATTACGTGGGTAAAAAACAATATGGTTGTAAACAGTTATCTGTACTAGTTTTATGCAGTTTAATTACTCACTCACGAATGATTCCTTCCACACCGCAAGGAATTTTACAACACTGGTGCGTTTGTTGTAGCTACTCATTTCTCCCATTAATACTGTATGAACCATATAAGAAATGGACTCTGTTAAAAAGGAATTTCTCAACGGACCGAGCAGATACTAACCGACTGCATATATCCTTTATATCCCGAGGCTACGATTATTCAATTGCCTACAGTGTACTACAGGTCTAAAGCGATGAACAGTTTTCGGTATCTGTTTTTCTGTTTCCATTGATCTACAAATTGAACTAATTACTCATTGTTGTTATCCATCTTGACCTGAACACGGCATTCGACTCCGTCGGCTGAGAAGTCTTATGACAATGTCTCTCAATGAAAGGCGTGCCGAGTAAGTACATCACCTTATTGAAGGCTCTCTACTCAAACACTTGTGGACTTGTTAGAGCCTATGGTGAGATGTCCAGGGAACTGTACTCGTCAAGGCTGCCCACCTTCTCCATTCTTATTCAATTTTATCATAGATATTCTTATGGAGGTCTCCCTCACGTCACCCGATTACACAAAGGCTGATCTAATCGTGGGAGAATTTTCGTTAGATCTAGAATACTCAGATGATATAGTCCTGTTAGGTGAAGACGCTGACAAGATGCAGAGTCTTCTGAACACTTTGAGTGGGAATTTGAGAATGTTTGGGATGCGTTTCTCACCACCCGAATGCAAATTGTTACTCCAGGATCGGTCTTCGACAGTGCTACGGCTAACAATACATAGTGAGTGTGTCGACCACTTCACTCACTTGGGAAGTAGGATCAGGTCTGGTGGGTCAGTGGCCGATGAAATCTCTGCACGAATACGAAAGGCTCGACTGGCTTTTGCCAACTTATGTCACCTGTGACGCTGCCATGATATCCGGTTGTCTATTAAGAGTCGCATGTACTGGACCTGCACAACACTCCAGTCTGTTCTACTGTATGGCTGTGAAACATAGCCATTGAAGCTGGAAGACATGAGAAGGCTGGCTTCAGATGTTTGACCACCGTTGCCTTCGTAGCATAGGGCGTATTCCGTGGTGTCATCACATGAGTAACGCAGACGTCAGGTGTAGAGTTTTAGGTAGAAGTGGTAAGTCAGTTGTGGACCTTCATCGACTGAGATGGTTGGGACATGTGTTACTTATTACGTATGCCTAGTCGCCGTCCGCGTCGTCACACAATGTTGGCCGAAGTAGGTTCAGGCTGGAAAAAGGCCCTAGGTGGCCAGACTAAAACATGGCATCAATGTGTGAAATCTTTGACCGTTGGTTTGAGCGATGTGGGGCGATGCAGACTAGGTGGTTGGGGTCCTCGGGACAAGAGGAACCAATGATTGGAGACTCTTTGGGATATGACTCACAACCGATGTCAGTGGCGCAGATGTATACACACATTATTGTCATCTTAACGCTCCACCGAATCTCACCATTTTCTCATTCTCCCTTCCTCTCTTTTCATACTTTATATTTCTTTCGACTGGATTTTGTTTTCTTCATCTTCCACTTTACTGCCATTTTACTTGGTGTACTTATATGAGGTGTGGCAACTCGTACCGTCACGTAGTAATGCCTGGTCCTATGTTGATGATGATGGTAATGTTACTAGCCAACTCTAGCAACACTTCAAAAAGAACGTGACTAAATTTCAAACCCTCAAATGTTTTATTTTTGAACTGAATATATTTTCCACCTGTAAATTAGTTACTTCTATTGTAACTGCTTTAATTCTTCAAATGGGTATACCATGATGCCGTCAAAAGTGCCTTCGATCGTCATACATTGCATGTAAATCCCAAGGATTTCGTTAGTTTCACTTTTACACATTCGATCAGGAATTTAAAAAAAAATGAGAACGTGATATATTAGTTCAAGTTTTCACAGATGTTTATTGGTGATAATTTGCATCTAAATGGTACAAATTTCTGTTTCCAAGGCAGCATTTTGAACTGACAATCCAATCGTTGGTTTGCATTCGTGTTTGACTCAATCTTGAGGAATGAAGTGGCTGGTTGCACTGATCACCTCACCTGTGTGGTTAGCCCCACCATTCAGCATGGGTCGATTGCATTACGAGCTTTAGTGATCACGTAGGATAGTCAGTTAACCTAGTGATTTGGATTTTTTAAGTCTCTGACAGCTATTCATTAGCGATAATTCATAAGATGACTGAAGTCGACAAGTAAATACTAAGTGATATCGCAAATCTGTTTTTTTGATTGTAAGTGGTGAGTGTTTGTTGTTGTTGGTTTTTTTTGTAGTATGCCAATAACCTAACGCTATAATTTCATCTCTTTTTCTTGTCTGCGAAGTACAAAAAACGTGGGCTGTACATTATATTTTCTGCTCGTTTGTATATATTTCCCTATCTGCAACCATAAATAAATCTTTTGGAGATACAAGGAAACGAATGGTATTGAGTAAGCAGTGTTTTCTAGGCTTCTTGACAAGAATGTGCTGCAAACGGATACAAGTTCTCAGTCACTAAAACCATGAATTCCAGTCGATTGGAATGAATTTACTTCGTAAATGTCCTAAAGAACGCTTACGATAATCTATACTTCACAAAGTAAGATGTAGACTGCCTAATTAGGGTCCTCGAGACGAAAGGAATTAGTAGTTGAGGCTCTTGGTGACATAGTTGAAAATCGGTCACAACGGCGCAAATGTATTCGCTCCTCTACATCTTTTAAAACTTGAATATTTGCACTAACTGTTTACTTTGTTATCACACCATTTTTCTCTCCACCTGATCTTTATGTACTTCTATGAAGTGTGGCGACTTGAGTCAATACTCGCGCCTACGAGGTTTTACGCTGGTTTTGTCAGTCAGTCATGAATTAGGACAGTGACATAGCAGCGAAGAAAAATTATGACGGTCCCATTTACTAAAGCTGTACAGTCGTATTTAAAATCATTGAAAGCAAATGGCGATCTGTTGTTAATCACTGGGTCACCTTGTTTCCATTATATTCAAAAGTGAAATAAAAAATTAATAAGGATAGGAGAAAATTACTAATTTAGCCACGATGAAGCTGATAAATGCACGTAATGTTGTTGTACCCAAAGACTAAGTTTAAGGTTGAGTTGCCATGCATATATGACTCAGTGAAAGATCTTTGAGATTTTAGGAGGGGGGGGCACTCTGTGAATTACTTTGGGGGAACTACTCGGATAAGCCAGATGATAAAGTGTTCAAGAATAAAACTGTTGATCTTTTTCTTTCCTCTAGATAGCCAAACTGGAAAATATTCCAAATACGCTCACTGACTTGACGCTGTGTTACGGCCAACGTATGTTGCCCCCCAGGAACAAGTAAATTGATAGATGCACATTGAGGTAGTCAAAAGCGGTATTCTGTCCTTAACGCATTGATGGATTTATTGTCTTCTGAAAAATGTGATTCTCAGGCTAGGTGCGTAAAATATCTTCCTCAAAGAGCTTGAGAAGTGATTTTCGAGGGTTTCAGCGAAGAAATAGGCTGAAGAATTCCAAGTGGGAATAAAACACTTAGTTCTTGTATATCGGTCTAGTTTATGTTTAAAATTTAGGTTGATCAAACCTATAAATTTAGTCAGTAGTGCGGAATTATCACCGAATCAAAAGAGTCCTTAACATATATGTGATCGCTTTGAACTGCTCTCAAAATGTTTAGATATAAATGAAGTAACTAAAGTAGTGCAATGTAAGCAACTGACAAATTCTGTTAACCTAGTGCGGATTTATTTTTGATCAAACACCAGTGATTAACTAAACCGGACGGAATATTCATCAATCTAAATAATTCTTTACTGTCAAAATGATTTTTGTAGTAAAATGAAAGTTAACAAATTTTGCATATTTTTTTTGTCCTGTGATACCTTCATGTGTTTTATTTTTCTAGCTGATTAAACGTGTTCTTAGTCTGTCAACGCTGTCACACTGCAGGCTTATTAACGTCTACCTCATCATTGCAAATCACAAACCAACTATTGGTTCATGCAATTAGCAATAAACTGTATTTATTGTGTGAAGGTGAGTTATACTACTGGGTTACCCAAACCTCGGTAGGTGGAGTGTTTGCAAACCCTTAATCCACTGGTTAAAAGTCAAGGGCCTAATTCGGTGAGTCAGAGCTCCAAGCCACTTTACCATTATGAATGAGCATCTAAATTTCACATGGAGTAATGTTGAACTAAAAAATGAAGTTCATACTTACATGGCTTTTACTTGTTGGTAACAATATGCAATCCACAAAACCCCAGTATACATGTAATCCCACCAAATATTCGTCGAAAACTATTGGTTATGACTGCACTTTGCATTGTTAGGTCAGGGTTGGTGTAAGTTTAGCTTGTATTTTGATAAACGGATAAGTAGTATGTAATTAAAATAACTCATACGATTTATACTTATACCGATGAATATTCTTGATAGTCATTTCCCTATGGGAACATTGGGAAAACAGAATATTTAATGAATTTATGCCTAATGTTTATTTTCTAGCTTTTATTTAAGTAAACATAATGGTCGAAAAATTAACCTCCAGACAAATATGGGTTACGCAGAACTGTCCGCTGTATTTTATGGTCGGCCCAGTGCAGATATGAATGTACCTCAAAGCTCTTCTGTAGCTGATTCACATAGTCAAGGCTTTCTTATACGTGGTTCCAGTTCAGGATCTTCGAATCAAGTTACGAGTCAGTGTAACCAACCAGTGCCAATTAGTGGATTGCCGGGTAGTCCTGGAACTTTAAAAACCCTCGATCCACCCAGTTCATTCAGTACTTCTTCCAGTCGCCCTAACTTACGAAAGTATTTTTTACAGGTAATTGCTTTTCTTCTATATGAAGCTGCAGTCTATTATTTGAATGCTTGGTGCATAGATTTCTGATTTACCGATGGGACTTCTGAGAAACTTAGCGATTACCACAAAACTATGGTTTGATCTGATCACCCAACTAATCTATCTTTTTATGCGTTCTACTTTTGAAATATGCCTTCATCGAAATTTTCGGGTGTTTATTTAATGAGTTTATTCGAATAATTTACCAGGTCTATAGAGTTGAGCGTTATCAAGCTGTGACATTCATTATGCTTACTTCACACATAGGATGGTTTCAAACAAATAATGAGCCACTACTCAGTTTTTTCTGATAATCCGAATCTTAACAATGTATATTGCTCTCATTTAACATACCCAGCATATCTTCTTCAATCAACTTGACTCAGCATATTGGTAACGAATAAATGCACTCGCTGGATTCAGCAGTTGTAAAATTGAAAACTATTAAGATTACCTGAGATTCCGTTTTTCAGCTGATCTTCATTGTTTCGAGAAAATTTTGGTTGGAGGTAGTGATAACTAATCTGTCTGATAAATACTCGAAACTCTCAAAAACTCTTAACCACTTGTTACAAAAAACTTCTTAATTAAACTCAAAGTACCTTTAGTTTACGACAAAACAATGAACCAACATACTTGACAAAGTGTGAATTTACGTAGACATTCATTCAACTAAAGGGATATTCGTTCAGATAAAGGTATTCGATTATTTTCGATATTCCCAAGAAAAGATTCATCATACTTTTCAGACGAGTATATAGTATTTTTCTGCTCACTGACTGGTCGTTTTACGCAGCATTATAATACTGCGTTACAAATCTACACAGTTTTAGTAATGTAACTTCTTTCCCAGCAAATATCGTAAGTTACTGAGAAACATCCCGTTTATTAAACCATGAGATGCACCGGACTGGAAGCCGAAACCCAAGTGTAGTGGTCGGTCAGGCACATCACAATAACCCAACTAGCTGCAACGCTTGTTCCTAAGGTCCTAACATGCCAGAAAGGTTTATTAGACAGTGGTAAGACAAAATGCAGCCATCACCATAATGCTTTATATCTATCTTATACTGGGAGTCCGAAAGCGACGTCGCGCTGTTTGTTGGGTGGATGTGACAGCAGTAGTGTTTCTGACAGGTGACCAACTGTGCCGTACCGATGCTGCCTTCCCTATGATAAGAGGTTGGCCCCAAATATATGACACTCCTCCCTACTCTTCTGCATTCTGGTTCCGTCAGTGTGGGTTTCTCCTATCGGGGGTCAGGACGACCAAATCTTAAACCGAAATTCGTAAAGATGCTGTATGTGACAAGCTGGAAGCAGATGTTCAGTGTGCTGTGTGGTGGTAAATCTTTTCCTTTTCCCTCTCAGCCACCCTGCAAAAATCTTCCACTGTGTGCACGGTTGGGAAGTGTCAACCACCCTTGCGCTTCCTGGAGTACACAAAACTCAATAAAACACAACTTACCCTCCTTACTTTTGTCTCCTCCCTTGACTTCACTTCCTGAAACCCATATTGAGCTCCTTACAACTTCTTCAACCCCTTACCTTGTGACTATTCCTAAGGAGTCGAGCCAACAAGACAGGATTCTCATTCTTCCAAAACCATGCTACCAATTTCACATTCGAGTTATCATCATCCGAAGCGTATGCCGAATCGGGCAACAAGTGTCACTTGCCGAAATTGGAATCTCAAGTCATTGATGTATACTGTGTTTGTGGGACACAAGCGGGGTTCTGAGTGTAGTTATTCACTAGACCTCAGCTGGGTAGTGTAATGTAATGAGTCTTTGGAATTCACTTGATGATTGCTCAGAGATTCATTGACTTTCTCTTTTGGAGTGACTGGTGTAGACATGGCATTAAGTTGCAGGTCGTAAAGCACACTTCTTGACTAGATACCAGTCGACAACCATTTGTGTATTGTTCGACTGAGTGGAACATTGAGAACTAGGAAGGATTGTGAGATTAACCTATGCCTATTCGTAATCTCTGCGTATGTACCCACTGACTGTAGTTCGTATGATGGAAAGAATGAATTTTCGTTAGGTTGAATGAAATGACGAGAGAACTTTATTTTTCGACAATATCATTTTTTTACAAAGCTGTAAAATCGTATCTGTTCATATCACTGACGAATGGAAAGTAGTTGCGTAATAATCGTTTAGTCAATGGAAATAATAAGAAAGGCAAGGAGGGTGACAAGATAAAGTGTTTTGGTAGGTGGGAAATGGGAATATCGCGTGTCCAGTGGCTAGATATAAAGGTGAAGAATGAAGCAAGGGTTCTAATGGTGGTGATAATAATAAGCTGACTAATTGTAATGAAATCGAAAAATTGTGTTTTAACACCATGGTTAGATAAGATACTGAACATACTCCTTCTGCACGCAGAGATCGGGCTTGAATTAGTGAATTACCAATGCTTTTGCTGTGCACAGCTGTCGGGAGCGTACTCCTTTTGAACTTTTTCCTTTGACTCAGTCAATGACACTGAAGGAGGACTCCGATGGAGGCGAATTAAATGCAGAAGAAGGGTAACTGAGTTTGTTGGAAAATCATCTTGGACTCCGACTCGAACAAGCCTAAAATGATGCTCGTGTTTTGTAATCCTGTACGGACAATCGCTTGTTTTTGACTTGGACTAACCCCCAGCATAAGGAGAGACACTGATTTCAAACCAACGATGGACAAAGATAGATAACATTGCTATGAGTCGTAGTTGGAGGATTGTTGCTGTTTCTGGATTACCAGCTTGGATCCTGACCACGTGTTAGTGTGTCCTCATGTACATCTGCATCTTACTAGCCGCAGGAAACAGGAAACACTGAGACCTATCAATGCTCGGTTGGTTGATGAGGGCGCGAAGTATGCATTTAGAGAGGAGTTAATTAAGCTCATCCTGAGGAAACCTGGCTTGATATTGAGTAAGCTGTAGAAACAGTGGTAAAGACAATCGTTAATCTACACCTGAAGGTTAGGACAAGCCCAGTGGATTTCTACAACGTCATTTGAACTGGTTGGTGCTAGAAGACTTATTCCAGCTGGCTCTGACCACAATGACGAGTGAAAGCAGCTGAAACATGAGTTGACTGAGTTTTCGGAATGATGGCGATCAATAATGGGTGACGAAAACGAGACGGTCGTAGTAGACGTCAGCGTTTGGCTAACACTAGTCAACTATTTAAGCTGATGAAGAAAACTTTAGTGTGAAATCATCGCCGAAAATGATGGGACACTGATTACCTTCCAGGATAAGTTGCTAGATCGTTGTTTGAAGAGTTTGGAAGTATCGTTCAACTGGACCACAGCAACGCCTCAGTTGCCCAACATTCAGCCTGAACTTGAATGAGACTTAAGTGTCGACCCTCCAACTCTCTTTGACGTTGAGAAAGCCGTATCGAACGTGAATTGATGCAACTCACCAGGACCCAACGAGTTACCATCAGATAATTGGAGGTAAGAAATTGCTTATTAGTGCCGGAGGTACTAGGTAGTGTATGCGAATCAGAGATATTACCGTCGAACTAGTGTGCTTCAATGATCATCCCAGTCTATAAGAAGGGAAACCAAAGGGAATTTAGTCTGACTACAACTATTTCCAAGATCCTAAGACCCGTAATTATCCATGACCTAACTGAAAATAAAGAACAGCGAACTCGAGAAAACCAGACAGACCTGAACGAGGGTGTATCGACCGCATTATTACCCTTCGACAGGTTATAGAACTCAAGCATACTTACCACTGACCAACAATTGCCATATTTCTCTGTCGACCGTGAGGTGTGTGTGGCAGTGTGTAACTGTGAAGGGAGTACCGAGCAAGTAAGTAATGCTTATGGAAGTTCTCAACTGGAAGTCACGCAGCCGTGGGAGGACTTATGGTGAGTTATCATGTGAATTGACGACAAACAGTAGTGACCACCAGGGGTGTTCACTGTCACCGTTCTTATTTAGCTTCATCATAGATATACTAATCGGCATAATTTGAGGTACATCTGACTTCACAGGGATTAATCTACTTTCCAGAGGTCATCTGGTTGGTTTGGAGTAAGGAGACGATATTGCCCTGCTAGATGAGGACGCTAAGGAAATGCAGTGTTTTGTGTAACCGTTAAGCGGAAATCTGAGTATGTTTGGTATGCGTTTCATTGACACCTGTCAAATGTGAGACGACGATGCTCTATGACTGGTCTACAAACACCCAGTTTAACGATATGGAGTGAAATGTTGGATTATGTTGACCACTTCATTTACTTATAGAGTTGCCGCAGCACGAACGGAGTGGTTATTGACGAGATCTCATTTCGGATACAGAAGGTCTGTTTGGCACTTGCCAACTTGCGTCATCTGTGACGACGATTGGCGAGATATCCGGCTATCTATCTATCTAGCAAAGGACGGGTATACTGCGTTGCAGTCCGTTTTGTCCTGTTGTACGGCTGTGACACACGGCCACCGAAAGTAGATATGAAGCGGCTACAATATTTTGATTATGGGCGTCTTCGTTTCATTACTTGCATTTAGAAGAATCGCCATGTGAGCATTATCGAGATCAGGCGAAGGGTTCTAGGCAAGACAGTTGATAAAGTTGTGAACCTTTACCGACAGACATGGCTCAGCATACCCAGCACATCTCCAAGCCACTGGCTGCTTCAAAGTGCGGTGCTAGGAGTTGGATTCGGTTGACCAGACTGAGGCGTGCCACCAGTCGATGAAGTCTCTACGGTTACAGCTGTATAGGGAGGTGTAGATTGGTGTCCCCAAGACGATAGGAATCAGTGGTGAAATGGGTGAAAATCTGTCCCAATAGCGATGTGTTTATTCTTTTGTTTTCTGAAGCTCACTGGGATGCGTCCTGGATTCCACTGCTAGTCACCAAGTAGACTGCAATATATAATGAATATTCCAGGATGTGAGAATTACCTCAGTCTGAGAATCGACTAGATTGAGAAGTTAAGGCAGACTGAGAGTGTTCTATCA